AAAAAGATAAATTTGTTAATAAAATTAAAAAATTTTAATCTGCTAGTAATTGGATACAAAAAGTTATTTAAACTAGTATTTTCAATCTGCTATTGGTGTGGACCTTAATCGCTATCCACTAGTTCCAAATTACTGAATAAAATTTTTTACCAAACACCTTATTTGTAGCATTTTTGAAATATATAAATTTACTAAATACTTATATTTAGTGGTTAGACAAAATCACTAATCGGTACTCCAAAACCTCTATATACCAAATGAGTCCCAAATTGAGCTTAATAGCTGTATAGGCTTTAGAGAATGTTTGCTAGCAGGACCAGAAAATAAATTACACAAATGAAATAATAAATAATGTTAAGTTACAGTTAACATAAAAAAAAAATTGTTAAGTTACAGTTAATGGCAGTTGAATTTCTTTTTATTTAAAGGAATATATTCTTAAAAGAGAGAAGATTACAAATTCCATCCCCCTATTATTTCTTCTTTAATTAGAAATAACGAAAATGACTTTGAAGTAATATTCTAACTAACAAGTTACTTTTAGGGCTCCAAATAAAATTTGAATTATCTAGTATTACTACTTAATAGTACATGACAATACTCATTTAAATTTAAAACTTATTAAGACTTTGATATGTCATCTTTTAAAATATTTTTGTTTTGAAAATTTAGATTTCCAACCAATCAAGGACTGTCTTGGTTAATTAAGGAAATGGAGAGGAAAGACAAATGAATGTGAAAATTCCTAAATGTAATGTAATGAGACTATAGAAGAATGGGTCAAGAACTCAGAACCACATAATATGGCCTAAAAAATTGGGCATCAAATCAAATGAGGTGTCTGTGTCAAAAATCTTGTCCTTCTTCGTGAATATCCTCCCAAAGTTAGAGGTAGCATTTTTTTTTTTATGGAAACCAACGGCACCATCGTCAAACTTGTGAAGCTGAAATGCACCTATTTGGCCTACTCAAAGTATCTGGGGCATGTTTGGTACGTTTAGCCTTTAATTGTTTGCTCACATGTTCATGTCAATCTCATTTCTCAGTCTCAGCATAGTACCCACCCACTTTAAACATAACCCACATGCATGCAATGCAATTGGATTGACTTGAACCAATAGAGCTAGCATCTTTCATTAATAGTTCGAGTTCGATTGTCCTCTTGGCACGACATATGGCATATGGCCACCAGGACCAAGCTCAAGGATTGGGTTCGAGCTGACCCACCTGGGCCTGCCTCCTTTCTTTTTTTAGGCCATCAATTATGTCCAATACGTGGGCCTATTTTAGCTTTAGACAAAAGTCACCAAACTTGTTTTTGTTTTTTTGGGCTTCGAATATATTTGTTTAAAAAAACAAATAGAAGAGAAGGCAAGAGAGCATAGAGAGGATTTTGTTGACTAATGCTCTGTTTCCCTTACTTTTTTTTTTTTTTTTTAATGATTGGGGTATTTTTGAGTTAACTTTTGTGACTTTTGAGATTAATTTCTCTTTAGGTGATCTTAAGGGCGTTGCATGCTTTATGTCAATTTAGTACATTTAAAAAAATTAATTTCTTAGGTACTAACCCCAAGATTTGAATATTGAATTTAACTTATAAGACCACACTTACTTACTAATGGATTCAACTCCTGGATTTCCATTTCCCTCACTTTATTAGCCAAAATGGTATTGGGTTTTGAGGGATTGAAGTTGTAGGCCTAAAAAGTTCTAGCTAGAGGTGAGCATGGACAGGCATCGATCAAGTATTTACTCATACTCGTACTTGATTTGAATAGTAACAAGTATAAGATTTCAATATCTAGTACTTATTTGGGTATTGAAAATTTATACCCATTACTTAATTTGCTAGGTATAAGTATACTTATAGGTATACTTGTATACTTATTAAATTTTACATTGAAAATATATAAGTTAATATACAACTACAAGTTCATACATATTATATATAAAACAAAATATGTGAGAATATACATTCACGCATACATAAGTTTATATATACAGTAACAAAAGAAATACAAACAAAAATTCATATGATTTTCTTTCAGTTGAATCTTTACTATCAAAAGAAAAGAAAAAAAAATAAACATTTTAATTCTATCACATTATATTATAAATTAAGCATATAAAACTAGACTATATGTTAAGTTTATGGGTCAAATATAAAAATAAGCTATATAGGTCAGGTATACAGGTCATGTATGCAAATATTGACCTTCATACCCAATACTTACCCAATACTTACCCAATACTTAATAGGTATGCATTTTTCATTCTTGAAGTTTAACTGTTTGTTCACAAATACAGATAAAATATCTACTTTAACAAATCAAATACCTATAAATATCAGATATACCCTACAAATATCAAAGATACCCATACATGATCCTCAACCATTAGACCCAGCAAAAATTCACCCGACTCGTCAACCCAACCTTAACTCGACCCGAAAAAAGGGGTTAAGGTATACATATCTCAACCAGCAACCTGTAGATAACATGTATTATCAACCCGTATGAGTCACGGGTCGGGTTAAGGTCAACCCGCTGGTTGACGGGTTAACTCGTTTATTTTATTTTTTATTTTTTTAATATTATACTTATTATCCTTAATTAATTTTTCTATTGGTAACCCTTTCCATTAATTTATACTCCATAATTTCTAGAGAAAGAAAAAGAAATTATGATAAATTTGATCTAATTACCCAAGTATCATTTTTTTTTTTGGTTAAAACCCCTTTTTGGTCCCCGAACTATTGTACGGACCCCCGATTTAGTCCTTGAACTAAAAAAATCCCTGATTTGGTCCCTACTGTTTACCCATTTTACCCCAACTTGGTCCTTCCGTTAAAAATATGGTGAGGTGTCCAGTTAATTAGCTGAATATGATGACGTGTCAAAATATTGTGACACGCAATTGTACACATGGCACATGTCATAAACCACGTCAGATTTTGAGCCAAAAAAAAAATTGTGGGGCCCACCTCTTGCCCTCCAAATTCATTATTTTCTCCCCTTTCTTCCCCTTTCAACCCTAGAAGACTTGTACCAGCAGTCTCCGTTGGGTTCCTTCGAGAACCCAGCCGCTAGGTTTCGTTGGAACCCAAGAGCTGGGTTCTTTCGAGAACCCCTGGGTTCCTTCTTGAACCCAGGCACTGGGTTCTCGAAAGAACCCAGCACCTGGGTTCTCGAAGAAACCCAGCACCTGGGTTCCTTCTCGAACCCAAGGCCTGGGTTCGAGAAGAAACCCAGCTGCCTGGGTTCGAGAAGAAACCCAGC